AAATTTTGCATTGGAGTGTTATCATTTGATCCTGATCCCGCCTGATTCAGGCTCATTGTAGTATCAGTATCATATCAATATCATATCATTATACTGATACATGTATTGATACAAAGTCAATGAAGCGAGCTATTTGTCTGTGGTTCGCTTCAGATCCATCTAGACATCGTTTTGCAGTCTCTGGTAATCCCGCCAATTTGCCTTCATTAGGCACAATTTTTCTGCTCGTTCGTCATCGAGTCGAGTGCGAAGTTCATTCACCACGTAGCCACTTTGGCTAAAAAATCTCTCTTGAATCGCTGTGGAGAGCGGTTTGGCCAGGTAAATTCTAGCTAAAAGGGCAACCGCAGGGAATTCTTTGCTACCACGGTCTCGGAACCACTCGAGAATGTCAACATCGCGATACAGTTGCAGTACATTATACTTTCCTTCAATGGGTTTGGCTTCGGACCATTTCACAGAGATGGTTTTCCACTGATTCCAAGCTTTAGCTGCCTGAATCGCCACGCCATCGTGTGCATCTTCAACTCCTGATTGTTCTTCTGGGACATCCACCTCTAACATAGAGCACATAGCGCTATCTGGCGAGGTCTCGCAGTGCTGTTCGGTTTGGGCCTCCTCCAAAACGGTCTCCTTGGACTCATCATTAACCACATTTCTCGCAAAATATTACTGAAAAATGAACTCGAGCTCCAACTGGAGCTCATTTTCAGCTTGAGAAAGAGCAGATGAATCACTGACAATTATGCTTGCGTTGGCTTTGATACGAGGATCCAAAAGCAAAGCTTTTATGTCGTTCACATCTTGAATAGGAAACCGAAGTGCAAGTTGCTCGCGTAGTCGATCCCTGCAGCGAATTCCACCCCACGTGAATTCACTCACTGGCTTAGGCTGGCGTCTCTGCGTAAACTCGTTTCCTCTGAATGTTGGTCGTTCTAGTACCAAACACTTAACCGTCTGGAATTCACTGCCAGAGACAACATTTTTCGAAAAAGAAGTGAGTAAAAGCTCGCTACACCATCTTTCTGTACATTGCCAACACTAAACTGTGCAAGTTGGTCTGTAAGACCTTCCATTTCTGTGATCAGTTCCCAATCAGCACTGGATATAGAGCTCCACAACGTTTTGTTCATTCAGAGGAGCAGACTCGAAGTATTTAGTGAAAGCGTAATGGTTAAACACGCTCCGTCTCATTAGCGTGACTGCATAACCCACTCGGGTTTT